CTCCCTCTCTCTCTCCCTCTCTCTCTCTCTCTCTCTCCCTCTCTCCCTCTCTCTCCCTCTCCCTCTCTCTGTATCTCTCTCTCTGTCTCTCTCTCTCTCTCTGTGTCTCTCTCTCTCTCTGTCTCTCTGTCTGTAGTTTTGGGGAAGGTCCGTAGCGCGGTGGGCTGCGCTCAGCTCCTCATGTCCCAGAAGTTCCAGCAGTTCAGAGGCCTGTGTGACCAAAACCTGGTAGGTCAATCACAGCAGTTCAAGCTCAAAATGCTCCTGTGTTGTTTATTCAGTCAGTGAAACACTGAGTATGTCTTATCACACGCTTCCAGTGGACAAAATGATTTATTCTCAGCGTTTAATTTGCTGAGACAGAAGTATCTAACATCAGGAGCAGAATAAATGTGTGTATATTATTTGCAAAACCACTGTTATCTTCAATTTAGTGCAACAATTTCTACACAAATTCATTCTGCTTGTGTTCATTAAAGGGACAGTTCTCCCAAAAATGAAACTTCTGTCATCATTTACTCACCAAACCTGTATGAGTTTCTTTCTTCTGTTGAACATAAAAGAAGACATTCTGAAGAATGTTGGTAACCAAACAGTTGCTGTAACCCATAGACTTGTATAGAATGGGGGAAAAATTCTATGAAACTCAACAGGGACCATCAGCTGTTCAGTTGCACACATTCCTCAAAATATCTCTTGTGAGGCTCTTTAAAGTCTGTATTTCAGTCTGTTTTTGTACGTCAACTCAAATACTGCATCTGTTCTGACTAAGGTTCAGCATTAGTTATCAGGCACGTGCAGAAGGGGGGGCTTTGGGGGCTCAAGCCCCTGCCCTTTTTCAAAACTATTCAAAAGTGCGCCTCAGACAAATAGCAATGATATTGTGGTCAATAAAACAAAATGCATTTTAATTATAATTAACATGCCAATGTGTAACAATAATTAATCGCTCAAAATCGTTGCTATGGTTGCGTGCGTTTTGGTTTTGACTCCACAGTCTTTTCAGAAACCTTCTTTCAGTGAGTGGGTCGCCGGAAGGAAAAAATAAAATAAACAATATTTTAAACTTTTTTTCATCAGTAATCAAGGCTAGTGTGTCGATTTAATTATTTTAGAATATTACATAATTCATCAATGCCCACTTGTCATGTAGCTATATAATACACTAGCCAATCATGATCTGGCACAAGAAGTTCAAATTTCATTGGACAGTAATGTGAAGTGGAGCGGTCATTTCCCATTCTTATTCATAAATCAGTTGAAAATTACATGGACAGACGAGCTTACATTTGTGGAGCGATCTGGATCTGCGCTTTGTCTCATTTTATAAATCAAATTAAATCGCTGAGAAAATGGATGCTAAATGACTACAAAAGCACTGCGCAAAACCGTGCAGCGCCAAAAGTCGCAATAATGGTAATCCGTATTCAATTCACTTATATTTATGTATGGTAGACAAAGAAAAACAAGTAGATAGAATAGAAAAAATAGAAAGCTAGTGTTTTTTTTGTTTTGTTTTTTATAAAAAAAGAAAAATCATATCATATATATATATATTTTTTTTTTGCATTGCCCCTATTTTATTCTAATAAATAACTATTCAAATCAGCTTCTCAGAATCAGAAAACGCCAAGAGCAGCATGTTTATGAGCAACAGAACTACTTATCTTGAGATGTGTCGCCCCCTTGTGGACAACTGAATATAAACTTGTGTGAAATGCTATTCCGTATTAAAGAGATTTTTGTTTCTCTGTCTGTTCAGAATGTGAACGCAAACCCGAGACCCACGGCTCAAGATCTGGCTGGGTTTTGGGATCTTCTTCAGCTCTCAATAGAAGACATCAGCCTCAAGTTTGACGAGCTTTATCATCTCAAATCAAACGACTGGAAGCTGCAAGGAGACTCGCCAGAGAAGCAGGTACAAACACAGCTAATGACATAGAGAAATAAATACCATGCAGATGATACATTGTCATTTGCAAACTGTAAATATATTCACACATTCACACTCAAGTATTATTTATAGTATTTGGAATTGGCTTTTATTTTTATATTTTCAGTTTTTAGTCATTTTGTTGTTTTAGACATTTTGTTTTGTTTTTAATATGATTCTATTACTATTTAGCTCAAATTCATTTTTATTTGAATTTGTTTTAGTAATTATTATAATACGTCAACTTAAACTTACATTTCAGTAGCATTTTTATTTTAGTTTAAGTTTTAGTCATTTTGTCCTGTGCTTATGACATTTTTTTTTATATAGATATATTTCTGTTTAGCTTTAATTTACACTAACAGTCAAAAGTTTGCAATCATGTTTTTGAAGGATGTCTCTTCACCCAGGCTGCGTTTATTTGACTAAAAATGCAGTAACAATAATTGAAGTATTATTGTGGAATATTATTGCTATTTAAAAGAATGGTTTTCTACTGTAATGTATTTTCAAATGTAATGTTTCAAATGTAATTCAGCATCATTCCTCCAGTCTTCAGTGTCACATGACCCTGCAGAAATCATTCTAATATGCTCATTTGCTGTGTAATTATTGTCAATTATTATTGCTACTCAGTTATTAATAATAGTTGTTTTTTTTGTCAATGTTGAAAACTGCTCAGAAACTGTGATGCATTTTATTTTTCCGGATACTTTGATGAATAGAAAGTTCAAAAGAACAGCATTTCTTTTTGTAACATTATAAATGTTGTTACAGTCTATTTTGGTCAATTTAATGCATCCTTGCGGAATAAAAGTTTTTTGTTTGTTTTTTTACTAGTAATTTTAATACTTTTAATAACTTATTTTCAGTTAGTTGCCAAGTTTAAGTTGAATTTTTGCATCTAATGTTTATATTTGAAATATTTTATTTCAGCTTTATTTCCGTTACTAAAATTATTCTGAATACTTCCTCTGCTCTAAACTATAGGGAGCCCTTTTACATTAGGCTTACAGTTAACAACAGAGTCCAAACTTAAAGTTAATTACGATTTATTTTTAACTATAATAATCAACACTCAAATTAAAAAATTGTATGCAAACATGTAAATTGCACTCATAACTTGTTTCATAAAATATTTATTTAAATATAACCTACATTAAATAATTAAGACATCGCTAACAGGTAAAACGTCAAATGTCAAACATATTTTATTGGACTGTCCAGCTTTTAATGTATGTAGAAAACTCTTTTATGAAGTGAACTCACTTAAAGAGTTATTTAGTATAATTTTGCCAGAAAAAGTTTTAGAATTTTTATCATATGTGACCCTGGACCACAAAAGCAGTCATAAGGGTAAATTTTCCGAAATTGAGATTTATGCATCATATGAAAGCTGAATAAATCAGCTTTCCATTGATGTATGGTTTGTTAGGATAGGACAATATTTGGCTGAGATACAACTATTTGAAAATCTGGAATCTGAGGGTGCAAAAAAATCAAAATATTGAGAAAATCGTCTTTAAAGTTGTCCAAATGAAGTTCTTAGCCATGCATATTACTAATCAAAAATTAAGTTTTGATATATTTACAGAAGGGAATTTAATAAGTATCTTCATGGAACATGATCTTTACTTAATATCCTAATGATTTTTGGCATAAAAGAAAAATCGATAATTTTGACCCATACAATGTATTTTTGGCTTTTGCTACAAATATATCTCAGCGACTTAAGACTGCTTTTGTGCTCCAGGGTCACAAATGTTAATGTAATATAACTTGTGTTTGTTTGTTTGCTGGTTTTTATTGTATTTGTTATACTTGTATTGTTTTTGCCATGAAAATAGCCTAAGATGTTGACATGGCATTAAATAAAAATATACTACTACTACTACTACTACTAATCACATCTTTTACACATTACACGAGGCATGAGATGTTCATTCATGTTTATTTCACATTAAAACTAGTAGGAAAGAGGAAGGGATGATCACACTCACACCGAATACGTGTACCGTTATACCTCTGACTCCAGTACATGAATGCATTAAGAGCCAGTTTCTTATGGTTTGTGTCTCTCCATCTCTGATCTTTCCGGTTGTGTGGCGTTCAGGAGAACCAGAAACAGGCTCCTCCGGTGCCCAAGAAGCCTGGGAAGAGTAAACCCGCCCTGGGCCGAGAGAAGAGCAACGACTCGGTGGACAAACAGAGACAGGAGGCTCGCAAGCGGCTCATGGCGGCCAAGAGAGCTCAGTCCGTCAAGCAGAACTCGGCCACCGAGAGCGCCGACAGCATCGAGATCTACGTGCCCGAGGCGCAGACGCGGCTCTGAGGAGACGCACACCAAACAAGCTCAAGGGCTCCGGCGTCACACACAACACCAAAAGCTGCTTTTGACGGCGTCGAGGTGAGAGAGGGGGACGGAAACCACGCAGTGCAAACAGACTGCCAAGGAAAACCTCACAACAAAAATCTTATTAGTTGCAATTAATATTATTGATATGATAATTCATATCGGACTGCTATTGATTATTATTATTGTCCTAGATTGTTTCAAATGTTCTGGATAAGAACTCTTGTATCGTAGAAACACTCCCGCCGCTCGCGTGGAATCCACGTCTTCCTGTTACACGCTTCGGTTCCTGTTCTTCTTTCTCTCTTCCTTCACCAGAGATGCTCTTCGTCTTTTGTTAACAGTTTGGATCGATGCGGCAGGTGGCGCTCTTCCGTTTCCCATGTTTTGATGTTTACGAATCATGCGTTGTGGTATATCTCCATCTCAGGTCCTAAAGTCTCACGGTTGTCCAGTTCTCATGAGTTTAAACAATCTTAATAGTCCTTGTTATTTCTGCTTTGCTTTAAGGAAAGCAACCTAACCTGATGTTTTATTGAATGAAGTGCCTGTGGATCATTATTGTGGGTAACTTTACGACCCTTGTAGCAATATCAAAGATTATAATATCACAATTTAATCAGCACTCCCTAAAACACGTAGTGTAGACGCTTTGGCGGTGGGATAAAACTTAAAGAGCTAAATATGATTCTTCGTTCCTTTTCATCGTCCAGTTTCTCTTTCAAGCTGCACAGATCTGTTAAAACTTGTCGCTCCTCATCATGTCCTGTTAGTTTGAATATAGCATCGAATATGACGGATTTGACTAGATAAAGCAGACTCTTCTGTAACTGTTGATCAGGGATGTTGTAAACTCTTGAGAAAGTCTTTACTGGGAATTTTCACAAATACAGAGAATTACAAATGCACATTTGATGTGGTTCGATTTGGACTTGGAATTGTTAGAAAAAGGCTGAAAACATCTTTATGCAATGTTTTTTTTAATCAAAGAAGGTGGTTAGGTTTGTTTTAAAAGTATTTGATAAAACTGCAAATTAAGAAATCTTAAATATTCTAATATTAATGCAGTTTTATTAATTTCATCCTTTATATATTTCATGTGACTTAATCTGATTTGTCTGATACAAACTTACTGCTTGTTTCTTACTGCTCTTTCCATGCACTACCATTAACAAGTTTGGGGTAGGTTCGATTTTGTATGTTTTAAAAGTCTCTTGTCCTCACCAAGGCTGCATTTATTTTGATTTAAAAAAAAAAAAAAAATTTTGTGAAATATTATTACACTTTAAAATAGCTGTTTTCTAAGTGAATCAATGTTAAACTGTAATTTATTTCTGTGATGCGCAGCTGAATTTTCAGCATCATTCCTCCATTCTTCAGTGTCACATGATCTTCAGAAATCATTCTAATATGCTGCTTTGCTGCTCAAGAAACATTTCTGATTATCATCAATGTTGAAAACAAATGTGCTGCCCAATATTTTGGTGGAAACCTTGATACATTTTATTTTTCAGGATTCTTTGTTGAACAAAGTTCAAAAGAACAGCATTTATTTAACAGAGAAATCTTTTGTAACATTCTAAATGTCTTTACTGTCGCTTTTGATCAATTTAATGCATCCTTGATGAATACAAATTAAAAAAAAAATTTAATCTTACTGACCCCAAACTTTTTAACTTTATACTTGATTTTTCATCACATGCATTGTCATGAACTCATGAACTGTTGCAGCTCTGCATTCAGTGACAAATGTCCCCAAACTGCCGCTGATTGGCCTCTATTGTGTGTCATTCGGCTGATGGTGTGAATTGCATGTCTTCAGTTTGCAGCCTCTCAGTCGTTCGCTCCGTTTGGTGTCTGTCGAGTCGTTGACGCCTGCTGAGTGTCTCGCAGTCCTCTCATATTCAGCCCTGCAAACGTCTGACAGCCACAGATAAACCAGAATAATGGATCCGGAGCATGTGCAGGAGTATTTGAACACTCATATCCTGTGTAACTCAAGGCTCAGATCAGATGAACCACGAACACCAACCTGATTTATTAATGTTTTACCAGCCTTTGGTACTATTTCCCCAATTAAATCTGCAGAGATAAGCACAAAAATTCTACCGTGATGTATAAATAGAATTTAAATAAAAATAATTTGTATATATTCTATATTTCATGGTGTTTATACGTCATGATAGTTAATACCTTTAATTTAAAATAATTTTATTTATTAATTTTTTAATGAATTACAGTCATTTTGTAGGAAGAAAAATGTAAAACGGCATTAGAGTAATGAACAAATATTGAAAAGAATGGGAATTTTTAAAGTAAACATCCAAATGCATTAAAGTGACGGATCTGAAAAAAAGAAAGAAAAACAAACAATGTTAAAACGAGCATATATATGATATAAAATCATAAAGGTGTGTACCCTTTACATGCAATATTTTATTTTATTTATTTTATTTTCATGAGCAGTTGTTCACCAAATGCATCATTTTGAGTCTTGAATCATCACATATTGATCAGAAGTTGCATCAATTCTGTTCAGGGGTGCTGAAGCGTCTCATATGGAAACAGACACGAATGTTTTAAGCACACTGAGAAATACAGACAAATCAACCAACACCAATGTTTGCAAAAATATGCATTTGTCTCTATAGATACCATGTTATGATCATTTATTTTTTTTGCCTCAATCTTTTTCTATGAAAACATCATTGTATCAGTTGAATGTCTTTAAATTGTTCACCTGACGACCTGTGTTTTTCACTGTCTGGTGTCTCAGTGTTGTGAAACTGATTTTCACATCATTCATGTCCGGCTGTATGATCACATGTTTGTGGGCTTCTCTGAGGATGTGGATCACAGAGACACCGTTCATCTCCTCCGCACACCTGGATCTGGAGCAGCAGATGCGTTTCGGAGAAACTCTCGTTTGCAACACCGGGATGTGTGTTCTGCGCCTCTCTGTTCATGCTGCTTGGATACTAGATAAACTCTTTTATACACCTGTTAAGTGACTGAGCAGTGGAGTAACACAACAGCGGTCGAACCCTCTCTGATCTCCACATCCACCTGACGGGACGCTCTCTCTTTCTTCAGCTGTGTTTTACTCGTTTTTGGGGGTCGTCAAACAATAAATCATCTAAATGCAAGAGTTTGTAGCGACAAGAATTAAGATTATTATTATTATTATTATAAAGATTGATAATCAATATTTTATGAAACAAGCACATATTTTACTGACTAGGATTTGTTCAATATGTCTAATGCTATATGAAGTTTAGGCTGTGTATGTCAGGGTCTTTTGTTTAGTAAGAAATACAGTAAATCCGAGTTAAGTTCAAATGTGTTTGTGACTCTTTATTCTTTCTCAGCACCCTATATATATATATATATATATAATATCCTCATAAAAATAAAAAAAAAACTACATTTCCAATGTGATCTCAGTCTTTTGAAACCCATTTTTCTCCATCTGCAAAGAACATTTCAGGTCAGAATGTGACACACTCGGTGGTTAGGAAGCTGTAGCTGCAGAAGTGAAATATGAGCAGTTCTTTTCAGAGTTTAGAGGAATTGTTGTTCTCTGTGACTGTGAACTGCACATTCCTGCATATGAAAGAGTGAGATTTGCCACAGGCGTTGAGAAAATACATCACAAATCTGATCTGTATGCAAACAAACACTGAACCATTTCCTACAAATACTGCATTTATGAAAAGAGCTTTTTATTCCAATGGGCCTTAATGTTCAGACAATGTTGGCAAAGTTACGCTTTGTAATTAAGAAACATTTTGTTGTTCAGAAACATAATGTTGCATGTCCTGTCATGGTCCATATTATGACATGAATATATTTGCACTTTAGATCTTTTAGGTTCAACAGGTGTGAGATATACAGGTTCTATCAGTTCCGACTCACACTAACATTAACACTCACACAAACACACCAACAGAAACTCATCTATATGAACGTTTCCCTTGTATAGGCTACACAGCTTATTGATATTAGATAGAAAGATTATTATAATATTATAAAATAAAATAATTTTAACAAAATAATAAATGCTAATCACAATTACATTTTCTCTTAAATCTAACATAATACTAACCAAAAATGGGTGGAAGATAAAAACAGAACAAAATATTATAAATAGACTAAACTAATATTTTATTTAAATGTTATATATAGCCTATATATATATATATACAATATTACAATGAATTTTAAAATAATTGTAAATTACATTATAGATTTAGATTGTATAAATATGTAATAAAATATAGTTATAGTTATTTTATATATTATAAATATAATATAGTCAGAAAATATTTATATTTTATTTATATTAAAAACATTTTTCATTTTTATGACAATATTTTTTATGAAACATTTGCAAAAATGAAATCAATTAAAACAATAATAAACGTGCATATAAAGTGTCTAATGCACAAAGAGTCAGATATTGCGGTAAGAAGATAATCAAATGCAAAACATGATTTAAAAAGAAAAGCAGCTTCTAAAAATAGTTGTTAGAATAGCACACGTATAATAGCACACATTATTGAAGGAGAAATTCATACAAAATAAAATAAAATAAAAAATTAAATTAAAAGGAAAGTTTAAATGTGATTCTATTTTGGAAATGTCACTCTAGTACTGTACGAAATTAGATTAGTTAGTCTATTTAAAAGTCTGGAAGATAGAAAGGAGTTTCCAAACATGAAAATCTGGAAAATGTAGCTCTTAAAATAAACTCTCACAAGTGTTTGAATTGTGAGTTTTGAATGAAAGAGTGATGACACACAGATGTGGGGCCCTTATTGGCCCCTGGAGTGTGGAGGAGGGACCTAGAGCCTGTCATTGAGGGACGGACGGAGGGAGAGAGAGAGTTTGCTGGAGCAGCAGAGCTGCAGGTAAACGGATGTCATGAAACACGAATGACTAATGAGCAGATTCACTGATTACAGGAGCTTCTCTGATCTGACTGTGTGAGTGAGTAACACACTCTCCGTTTGACGAGGACCCGCGTCTGCACACCAGCAACTTCCAACATTTTGAGTGTTTTTTTCTTCTTCTTCCAGCATCCAGGATGAAGCCCAACAAAAGAGGTGAGAATCGCCGACAGCTGCGCGTTTGAACGGTGTTTAGCGTCAGATCGCACGCTGTCCATCTGCACGCAGTCTATGAGCGAGCGTGGCGTGATTTTAAGTCTGAACGCGTGGGACGCAGATGTGCTTCTGATTCTGGCCTTTCGGACAGCAGCTGATCCACGCGTTCGCTTCTTGCGCGTTCAGACTGATTTCTGAAGGGCCCTCGGATCTTCGCAGCTTTAGTGACGTCCACGCGTTTCTTACATTGTATCATTGTGATCTGATGACGTCAGCGCGCGTTTGTTTGTTTCGCGCGTCTGCGGCCCCGTGTGTTTATTCGCGTCTGCAAACAGACTTTTATTTGATCGCTCTTGTATTTTGTTTGAACTGTACGCGTTTTCTAATCATCAGCGTTACAGTAAGTGACGTTGAAGATGGGCAGGTTTCTCAATCAATTGTTTGCCAGTTTTTGTTTGTACGTGGCCCTCGTGTTTGTTTGGAGCTACAAATACACTTTTTATGCGTTTCCATGATCAGCATGCAATATGAAAATAAGCCAGGGGGGAGTGACGTCTTGAATGTGGAGTTCATTCAGGCATTTTGTTGCACTGATGTCATGTTAGGTAAACATGTGCATGAACTAACAGTTGTGTAGGCTAATAGAGAAAAAAAAAATCACATGAAATTCAGAATGGAAGATGTCCCTCATATTTTATTCCACTTTAATTAGTTTTACATTTTGCATCTTTTCGTTTTATGTAATCATCTGTAATGCAGCTCTGTGTTAGATCATTG